TTTATTAAACTAAAACTACTTATGGCTAAAATTTTGTCCAATTGAATCTAAACTGAAAAATAATAGATAATTTTATTAAAACCGAAATATTTATCTGTAAAATTTCACAGAATTAAATATAAAAATTAAAACTAAAAATAAATTTTGTTTGAAAAAAAAATAGTTACTTTGACAGCGTCTAATTATATCTCGTAAACACGTTTCTAGTATTCAGAATAAAAGTGCCGTAAAACGGCAAGAAAATGATGGACGTAACGAGAACCGTTTCCGGGAATTAGGCAACGGTCATCTGAAACAACATCGTTTTTCGCAGTTTTTGAACCGTTTAGTCCCGTTTACGAGCCGTTTTCTACAATCTAGGTTATGGTGAACTTCAGACCATTCAGATTCTTTAGTATTGCTTGACAATCGTTTTTCGACACGTTTCAGAAACAACGAATAACTGATGCATTGCTTCTCAGTGGGTCTTTCGTGATTTTTCGAAAACTATTACCATCTTGAAAAAGTGCACGTTAGACTGTTCTATAGCACAACTTGTTATTGTGATTGACTCTCATGGTTTTCTCTCGAGAATATATTAGAATGAATGTTTCTAAAGTCGTATAGTTAAATTGCAATAATCTGAACTTCACATTAACGATAAAAATTGCAGTAGATATCAAAACAGCCACTCCATATCATTTTTGACACTGAGAAAAGCTTAATTCTTTTCTTTTTGCAGTCTTGAATTCTACTGCTGCTGTGTTGTTGATGAACTTGGTTTGTAGGTCTAAAATTTTTTTAGCATCCTCTTGTACATAAAAAAAGCAGTTTTGCATTAATTTTGATTAGCAGTAGACTTTAGATATATTTGTCAAAGTAACGTTTGAAACCGACTGTATGCTCTTTTCATGTTACAAACGGGTAATGTTAATACGATCAATTATATTAATATATCAATTTTTTTCTTATTGTTTAGAAAAAGACGTGTCTTAATAGTATATAGCAAAGATTTTGTGTACCAAAAAATTACTGTTCGTCGATTATTTTGGAACTTTTTATAAAACTGAGATGCAGAAAAATGGTTATGATCAGCAAAGGCATAGAGGTGCTAAAGACAAGTTAAATGTACTCACTATTTAGCTCTGTTGAGAAGCTGTTATAACTAAGAGATCAAGATGTTTCAAAGAACTATAATAGTGGATATGGATTATCTAATACTTGACTGAGTCCATCATGAAGAAAAACACTTGACAATTCTTGTTCAAAGAGTTCTCTGTAATAAAGCATAAACTGAGGATTATGTCTTTAAAATGTTTTCAGATATTTGAGCCTCTCCAAGCCTCCGCTATCCCATTTTAGGGGCGGCTCGAGCCTCCCCAAGTCTAATGGCTCCGCCGCCCATGCCTCATATACAGACAAGTTCTTATTCTTGTCAAAAGTGCGATAAAAAAGACCGTTCTGAACGCTAGGACAAAGAAGACCACCCTATGACATTCTTTGCCATTTCAGTTCATTTTGAACTTTTGGCTTCGGATAAGTTCTGATTGATCATCAAATCAGTGGCTCATGTCAAAAACTTCTCATTAGTTCGTACTATATTTTTTATTTCAAATACGTTCATCACTTTTAGTATAAAAATTTTAAAAGAATCTTGTTGATCGATTTCGATAAATTGAATACTATATTGTTTTATATTATTATTCTTACAAGAGAAGAAATCATTTAATATTATGCTATCTTGCTTAATCGATACGAACACTTTAACTGAATAGAGACACATTCAGTCAGAGATCATTCCCTGTCAATATATAAGTTAATATATTCGTCGAGGTTCAGAATTGATGAAACATTTCGTAATCACATATAATAAACACGTGAATTATTTCGGCTAGTTTTGCTTTAAAATTTTTCTATTAAACATAGATGATGTTGTTGTCGACTAGCTTTAAGTTTTACTTTTATGACCGCGTTGATATATGGAAGAAGAAAAAGAAAGACTTTAACGACTATACAAAAATGTTCGTCTTCATATAAATACTCTAAACTGGCCTTATTTATATTCAATAATTATTTCACATTATGTTCGACTATAACCCAATTGAAACACTAATGTCAAACGATTCTATTAGTACAAAGTCTGTTCCATATTCACCGTCAAATATTAATGAAACGCTTCGTTTATCGACAGATTCAAGTCAAGAAATGGATATTAATAACCAACAACAATCCAATCAAACTGCAACTATTGAAAAAAAAACAATCTAAAACAGAAAGAAAAGATAATTCGTTCGAAAAAATCTGTTACTTAGATTTTATATTTTTAAAAGTAACTATTGCATTAAATAGTTGAATAGAAATTGATATTTTCTGTTAGTCATGTTAGAAATTGTTTAAGCAAAGGTCAATATGCAGAACGTATTGATTCAACAGCATCTATTTATTTAGCGAGTGTACTCGAATATTTAGTGAGTTCATTAATTTTGATAATTTTTAAGCTTTTATTTTATATTTTCTATAGGTTATGGAAACGATTGAATTAGCCGGTGACATGACACATTAATCCAGTCGAAAACGTATTACACCTCAAGATATTTCGTTAGTAATCAAGAATGATCATGAGCTTGTATTTTTTATTTTTATTTTTCTATGAATTTTTCTTTGAATCCATTATTAAGGCTGTGTTGTGTTCTGCTGTAACGATTCCAGAAGGTGATGTTCAACCATTTATTCATCAGGTTAGTTTATATTTTAATGTAGATAAATTTTTTTGTAGGTGTTACTTAATACCAATCGACACCGTCGCAACTCGAGTTTAATCTGACCAAGATGGTGTTAAAAATTCATCATCAAATAAGACAAAATCAAAATACAAACAAGCGACGAACAAAAATAGTAGTAATACGAATACTGATGGTAATGTGTCGCCATATTCATCGAATGTCAATGATAGCGATCTACAAATGAAATAAACTAATTTCTTTTTAATTCAATTATGAAATCGTTTTTTCGATAAGATTTTTTTCTAAATCAGTGATTTGCATTTCGATCAAAACAAATATCTATGCTTTTTCTTTTTTTGACTTTTCATTATATCTTATTGTGTATGTTAAACTAGATTATTTATATTTAATAAAGAAATGATGATGATTGAAGAGTAATTATTTATGATCAGAACTAATTCAAAAAGATTCGGAAGAAATAAGACAATGCTTCTTAATCATGAAACGCCTTTCATTGTGGTCGATCAAAAAAAAAAGAAAGTTTCTGTTATCTTCTAAAATTCATTATTTTGGACCAATTCAATGTCTAAGCGAAAACGTTTTTTATTGAAAAGTGTGATTAACAGTTGAAATTTACGTAGAAAAATATCAAAATTTAATTAAAAGATTGCTTAGTGAAATCAACTTAAATCAACAAGTTAACGAAAATAATCAAATGAAAAAACAACATTTCTTATCATTGACTTCATTTTTAATAATTCCTCAACATTTCATATCACAACACACTTTTTTCCTCCATTTTCAACAATAAATAAAAACCAAATGTTATTCATCATTAGACCTGCATTAATCTTAATCTACTGTTATTTGTTCTTGGTCAACCACGTATTGATCGTTTCTAGCGAAAGAAAACATCGATTTTTTTCATCATCATTACCATCATCCACAAAGATAATTACATTTCGATGACAAATTTTAACAGTATTTTTCATCCAAGATTTAGCAATTATCAGAAACAACATTATAATAATATTCCATGTGCTAGATCATATTGTGCAACAACATACGATTGCAGTCAATTACACCATCAACATAACCGTACCAATTCCCGCCACCGCTGCATCTCCACCGAACGACTTTGTCAAGATGAAAGAAAAAAAAACGAAAAATCACAATCAAATCAAATTTCGTTACAAATATTTAACTATGCAGTAGAAATTTCAGTTACTGACTAATAACTGTAATAGATCATATGACAGATGGGACAAAAGTACTGCATTAGTATTGTTTTTGATACAGCGCTGTAATAGAATGTCGCCAAGATTTCATCTTTCTCTTTTAATTAGAAAGAGCATAGTGTCTAGCACGAAAATGAATAAAAGTTTTCAATTGCAAATGTTTGTCAAAGGTCATAGAACCTTAAAAACAATATGTATCGGAAAACTCTTCCCCAATCTCCTTTTGAACTGAGAAAAAATTTTTCTTAAACCGGCCAGGTTATATTTTTACTCGTCTAATTCAAGTCTTACAATGTACGAACATTGAGCTTTTGTTTCACAAAAAAAGAAGCTCTATGCCTCTTTTATAATGGCTGAAACGAACTCATTTATAAAATTGCCTGGTATCAACAATTTCATCACCCTCGATCACAGTAGAAACAATAAATTCTATCACGAGAGAGAGAGCGTCCCAAAACTATAACAATTACATGAAAAAAAAACTTCATGAGACCGCTATCATACGGTAATATTTGGCACAAGACACAGATATTTTTGCCAGATATTCAGCCAAACATTCGCTTGCAAGATGAAAACTGCAAATCCGCTATATTCAGTCTTTCAATCGGATACTCTTCTATTTATTTACTTGTGCATTACGTCAATTCATTTAATATCGCACTCAAACATTCTTTGTAATAAACTACGGTAAATAAATCATGGTGGAAAATAGAGCGATTTGACAGAAAAAAAAGCTTAAACAGATATTCCTGGATAACAAAATTATCACCTAACTTCCACAAGTGATTTTCGATGTCTTTCCTTTCTACAGTTTCTGTAACCCCTATTGAACATTTTCAATCATACTCTTCTATGTATTTTTGCACCACAAACTTTCTTCTTTCACACAAAACAAAACGAAACCTTAACGACGTTATATTACCGTAACGACATAAAAAAGAAACAATTCAGACATTTTTCAAACCTCCAACCATTACAGATAACCTTCTGAAACATCATTTGTTATTTCAGCTTTTTCATAAGGATCTTTATTCATTTAAAATCTATCATATTCGAACATTTAACCCGAGAAAACAGAAAAAATTGATTGGCTGAGTGTAGGCAAAAGTTGGTTAAGATGATTGATTATATTTGAAGCCAGATCATCAAAATTCACACGACCCTTGTATGACGCAAACAATTTTTGAAGGAGATTTCGTACTTGACCGAAAACTGTAGATTTCTCAGCATTGTTTACAACTTGTACAATTTGAGCAAGTTTATCAATTGACAATTGACCCAACAATTCTTGATAGCTCCCACGAAGTTCACGCTTTCCAAACAAACTTACAGCACCAATAAGAAGACCGGGAAGAGCAGAGACAACACCACTAAGTGCTTGTTGACCAATATGTTCCCAACTAGAAGCAAATAAAAGTAGACTTGAATTTAGCACAATGCTTTTTCTTACTTTATGCGCATTTGCGAAACTTCAGGTACAAATTGAGTAACAAGTTGTTGAATAGCTTGAGCTACATTGGCTAAACTCCAATGATTACCAACAGCTGAAAGAATAGTGTTGAAGAATTGTTGTTGTAATTGATGGAATTTGTCATTGCTCAAGAATTGATGAATTTGTGGAACGAATTGATCCAATGAAAGTTTATCAAACAATGAAAGAACATCAGCAAGACCAGCACGAGCATCAGTTGTTTCACGTTTGCCAAATATGCTTACAGCACCAATAAGAAGACTGGGAAGAGCAGAGACAACACTATTGAGTGCTTGTTGACCAATATGCTCCCAACTAGAAGTAAATAAAAGTAGACTTGAATTTAGCACAATGCTTTTTCTTACTTTATGCGCATTTGAGAAACTTCAGGTACAAATTGAGTAACAAGTTGTTGAATAGCTTGAGCTACATTGGCTAAACTCCAATGGTTACCAGCAGCTGAAAGAACAGTGCTGAAGAATTGTTGTTGTAATTGTTGGAATTTGTCATTGCTCAAGAATTGATGAATTTGTGGAATGAATTGATCCAATGAAAGTTTATCAAACAATGAAAGAACATCAGCAAGACCAGCACGAGCATCAGTTGCTTCACGTTTGCCAAATATGCTAACAGCACCAATAAGAAGACTGGGAAGAGCAGAGACAACACTATTGAGTGCTTGTTGACCAATATGCTCCCAACTAGAAGTAAATAAAAGTAGACTTGAATTTAGCACAATGCTTTTTCTTACTTTATGCGCATTTGAGAAACTTCAGGTACAAATTGAGTAACAAGTTGTTGAAT